GAGATTCTTTACTGTCTGAAAGTGAAAGTGAAAGTTGCTCAGTCGTGTCCAACTCTTTGCGACCCCATGGATTATACAGTCCATGGAATTTTCCAGGTCAGAATACTGAAGTGGGTAGCTGTTCCCTTCTTCAGGGGATCTTCCTAATCCAGGGATCAAACCCAGGTCTCCTGCATTGTGGACAGATTCTTTACCATGTCTGAGCAACCAGGAAAGTCATCTTGTTAAAAAATAATTTAATTATTCATGAGAGGTAGTAAGGGAAACAATGATTATTCTTTAGTGAATCTTATCTGTACAAAGCAAGAAAAAGTGCACTCACCAGAGAAGAATTCAAGTTGGGAGTATAGTTCATTTTTGTAGATAGAAATAAATTGGATGCACATAAGGTAAAGGAATAAATCAGGGAGAAAAGAGGTTGGAATCCTGAAAGATTTGTCAGGATTAAAAAAATCAAAGCCCCTGAGGAAATAAAGGGAATGTTGCAGTGAAAAGGGAAAAAGAGGAATGAGTTTTTCTTTCCCCCCTTTCTGAGAACAAGGTAGATAAAGAGAACAGAGAGCAGGCCTGAACATTCTTAGCTTTTTTTTGTTTGATTGTTTGTTTTCACTTTCACTGCTCCTAATTCTGCATGTCTGTAATAAGCTTTCTCTTCTGCTCCCTGAATCTGCAGGAACTACAATTCACATTTTCTCCTTTGACTCTATGCTAAATACATCCCCTATCTGGTGTTGACCCTTACAACACCCTTCCGCTTGTAGTTACACATCGGAAAGAAGGCTGGGGAACCACCTAACTGCCAGACTCAATTACTAGGTTGCTGAAACCAGTTTATGACTGTCTTTGCAACAATGCAAGAGGAAGAAATCAAGATCCTACCCACTTTGTTCCTCATTACCGACTCCTGTCTCTGAGCTCTTGCCTTATATAAGCCCTTAGACTCCTCACTGAGGGGGCAGCGAGGACATAGTTCTGGAGGCAGGAGCCTACCGTTCCCTTCTCTGCCACTGAGAATAAAGGCCGCCTTTCTATTTTCTCCAGACTCTGTCTCCATATTTTTCACTCAGTTTCAGTGGGCAGAGAAGGCCAAGATTTTGGCCAGCAACAGGAGCAATATCACAAAGAATCAAGAGGACAAATACAACAGATAAAAGTGACTACAGATTTGCCTGAAGCTGCAAGATGACAGAGACCTCAGAAAACTCAGAGCAGTGACATTACTGTGAAATAGAAGATAACATGAAATTCAGAAAACAAAGCAAGTTTTGCCTCTGCTAGTACAATTTAATACTTATTGGTTGCAAAAGAGAGAACTATGGGGAGAGAAGAAGAGATATTTTTGGTCAGCACACTGATTTTTCCTATTAATGCAAAACCACATAGGTATCTCAGCTTATAAATCTTGATGAAAGACCTTTCACCAGTCTTCAACTTCTTCCATCAAGTTTTCCTTATACCAGCCTACTCAACCATTACACAAACAAATACCACACACACAAATTGATCTTCTCTAAAGTCCCATGTTACATTTGGAAAATACTTTATTATAGCTTCCCAAATAGACTTCTCTGGAGAAGGGAATGGCAACCCACTCCAGTATGCTTGCCTGGAGAATTCCATGGATGGAGGAGCCTGGCGGGCTACAGTCCATGGGGTCACAAAGAGTCGGACACAACTGAGTGCCTGACACACACACAAATGGATTTCTTAGCACCTGTCTCTATGTGGACATGAACCATAGCTTATTCCTCTTTATATCAATGGTGCTAGAACTGCACCTTGAATACAGTAGGTTTTAGGAATAATTTGCTGGATAAAAATAACATATAAATAATTACAGAGAAGATACATAATTTTATATGTAAAGGTAGGGGCTTTGTTGTATCCATAATTCTTAGAGCAGCACATGATAAAAACAAATGCTAAATATCTATTCATTAAATGACCAAGAGAATATAATTAGATTTTTTGTAGGTCTTAAATTCATTGCTGGGAGGTATAAAGTACTTATTGACGCCTCCCTCCCAACACTTAAAGCTAAACCATAAAATATCTTACTAAGGAAGAGAAAAAAACAATTTTCATTTTAATGAATGAGATAAAGAGACTTGGTAAATTTGAAAAACAGAATTAAATCCATTCCAAAACAATCAAGCAAGCTATTCCTAATGATTGAGAGAAAATTCACACAAGAGGAAAACCAATCTTAAGAAATAATCAATAACAAGTACAGGAACATCAGCTACGCAAGATAAAACACCAGATTTTAAATTTTACCAGTATCATTTTGTAGTAAAGAGTGAGGAATAATGTTAATCTATGTTTTAATAGCATATCTAATTCAAATGCAGTTACCTCGACTGAGGAGAGGGGAAGAAACAAACAAAAAAATCTTCCAACATGAGTAAAACAGTTTTACGGCAATACTAAATATAAAGAGTTAATAAAACAGTAAATCTCAGAAAAATTTAAAGGAGTTGCCATTTTCTTCGTGGTTGTGTAAGTTTTATCTTTCCACAGAAAGATAAAAGGATTTGAGGAGACATAGAATATGAACTGGGTATATGATCACATTGTTTAATTACACTATCACCTCCTGAAGAAAATTCAACTCCTGTGTACAATTTTCTAATAAAAATACCCTATTTTCTTTCTTTTTAAAAAGTACCCTATATATTTTAATACAATTTCATGTGTTTTCAAAATACATATGGAAATACAAAAGACCTTGGATACCCAAAGGAATCTTGAAGAGGAAGAATAAATCTGAAGTCATCATATCTCCTGATTACAAAATATATTACAAGTTTCTAGTAATCAAAATAGTATGATTTTGGCATAAAGACACATAGATTAATGCAACAGAATAGAGGGCCAAGAAATAAAACTATGCAGTTAAAATTTCACCAAGGAGCCAAGAATATGCACTGTGAAAATGATAAACTTGTTAATAAATTATGTTGGGAAAACTAAATTGCCACATGCAAAAGAATGACACTGGGCCTCTGTCTAACACTGTACACAATCCTAAAGGAAATCAACCCTGAATATTCATTGGAAAGACTGATGCTGATCCTGAAGTTACAATACTTTGGCCACCCAATAGAAAAAGCCAACTCATTGGCAAAGACTGATGGTGAGAAAGCTGAAGGCAAAAGGAGAAGAGGGGGCAGAGAATGAGATGGTTAGATACAGTCACCAACTTAATGGATTGGAATTTGAGCAATCTCCAAGAAGATAGTGAAGGACAGGAAAGCCTAGCGTGCTGCAATCCATGGGGTCACAAAGAGTTAGACACGACTTAGAGATTTAACAACAACTAACACTGTACACAAAAATCAAATCAAAACTTATTAGAGACTTGAACATAAGGTCTGAACAACTCTTGGAAGAAAACATAGAAGTTAAGCTATTTGACATTGGTCTTGGCAATAATTACTTTGATTTGACTCTAAAAGCAAAGGCATCAAGAACAAAAATAAGCAAATGGGGCTACAGCAAACTAAAATGTTTTGTGCAGCAAAGGAAAAAGGAAGCGATAAATAAAGTGTAAAGGCAAGCCACTGAAATGGGAGAAAAGATTTCCAAACCATATATCAAAGAAGAGATTAGTATAAAAAACACAAAAGGAACTTACACAATTTAATAGCAAAAAAAAAAAAAAAACCCAATAATCAATTTAAAATAGGCAAAGGACTTGAGTAACCAGTTTCCAAAGACATACAAATAGTCAGCAGTACATGAAAATGTTCTTAATATCACTAATTAGCAGAGAAAACATATCAAAACCGCTATGTGTTATCACCTCACAATTGTTAAGATGCTTACTCTCAAAAAACACAAGAGATAACAAACAAGGGGACTCTGACAAAGGAACCCTTACACAGCGTCGATGGGAACTGAAACAAGTTCTACTATAAAAAGTATATCGAAATTCCTTAAGAAATCAAGAAAGTAAAAATGGAGCCACTATACAGTCTAGTAATCTCACATCTGGGTATTTATCCAAAGAAAACAGACACTAATTTGAAAAGATATGTGCACACCAAGGTTCACAGCAACATCATTTATAATAGCCAATATTCAGAAGCAACCTCAGTATCCATCTACAACTGAATGGATTAAAAAGATAAGTTATGTGTGCATACATATTATAAGGTATGCAGTAGAGTAGGTGAGGTTCAGAAAGAGAACCAGACTGGCACTCTAAAGGAACAGATCACCTTTAATGAGGCAAGAAGGGGCAGCAAATTAGCGAGCTGCTGCACTTACCTAAGAAAAGAGTAAGCATATATAGGCATGTACTTGGAAAGCTACTGTCTTAAGGGGGCCTGTTCTCCAAGGTTGCTGGGAGTAGTTCTCTCTTAAAGGGCTGGGGCAAGGAGTTCTGGAGATTGGCTAGAGGCTGGGCCGGCTTGGAGCTGGGCATAATCAACCTAATGTCTATTTTTAATCGGGTGAGAGAGTTCTTTGTTTTGCCTAGAATGGTGGGGAGGATCTGGAGGGGAGTTTTCACTCCAGGCTACCTTGAGCCATGCAACTTTCCTTCACATGTAGTTTATATAAAATATTCGTGCATGCATATATACATAACATATATAATATAATATTATTCAGCCATAAAAAAGAATAGCCTTTTGCCATCTGCTATAAGATGAATGAACCTGTAGAGTATTACACTGGTGAAATAATACAGATAAAGAGAAATGTCAGACAGAGGAAGACAAATACAGTTTGTTTTCACTTCCAAGCAGAACCTAAAAATAAAATGTGATCAAAAATAACAAGATACAAACAGACTCACAGTTACAGAAAATAAGCTATTAGTTACCACAGGGGATGAGTCGGAGGCAGGAATGATATAGGTGCAATGGATTAAGAGGTACAAACTTGAAGTTACAAAATAAGTAAGTCACAGAGATGTACTGTATAGCAGAGGTAATATAGTCAATATTTCATAACCTAGTATGGTATACAATCTATAAAAATATCAGGTCACTATGTTATGGGCGGGAGACAGCAAGTTAGCCAAGATGGCGCGTCCAGGCTGTGTCACTCGACATTTTGCGAAGACTGACGATGTCACGGCGGAGGCCCTGCAGAGCACTGCGCATGCGCATCCCGAAGGCCCGGAGTTGGTCTCGCGTTACTTCGTGCAGGACGCCTATAGGTGAGCTCGGCCTAGGAGACTGCGGCAGCCTTACGTTTGTGTCACGGCCAGGCCCGCTGTGTCAGGGTGAGAGGAGAGAACTGCGGCTCGGCTGCTGTATCAGCCAGGAGACAATGTTGTTGTGGCTGCCGTGCCGGACAGAAGGGGATAAGCGTGTCTGCAGTTCCCTCTCTCTGGGGGTCTTCCTCCCGCCTCTCAGCTCGCGCCATGCCGACCCTGGGTTCAGTGCGGGCAGTGTGAACGGCGCTTTAGTTGGCATAGTCAGCAGGATGAAGAGCCGTGCAGTTATACGCCTGAAATTAATGTAAATATTATAAGTCAACTATATCTCAGTACGCAAAAATTTTAATTTGCTCAAGATTAGACCTTATGCCACAAAATAAACACAACGTGACAAATTCTTGAGGTTATTGATATGTTTATTAGCTTATGATAATATCATAGCTGTATGTGTATGTCTAACTTAGGAAATGGGACACATTAAATATGTGCAGTTTATATGTATAAGTTGTACCTCAATTCAGATATAAAAATCATTCATAATTGCAAAAAATCAAAATATGGAAATCTAAAATATAACAAATGAAATATCTAAAAATTTAAACAGATGAAAAATCCCAGAATATTGGTGCAACTAATTAGATCTTGCAGACATAGGAATTTAAGGTCAGTTCAGTTCAATTCCTTCGCTCAGTCGCGTCCGACTCTTCGACCCCATGGACTGCAGCATACCAGGTGTCCCAGTCCATCACCAACTCCCAGAGTTTACTCAGACTCATGTCCATTGAGTTGGTGATGCCATCCAACCATCTCATCCTCTGTCATCTCCTGCTCTTCCCACCTTCAATCTTTCCCAGCATCAGGGTCTTTGCCAGTGAGTCAGTTCTTGGCATCAGGTGGCCAAAGGACTGGAGTTTCAGCTCAGCATCAGTCCTTCCAATGAAAATTCAGGACTGATTTCCTTTAGGATGGACTGGTTGGATCTCCTTGTAGTCCAAGGGACTCTCAAGAGTCTTATCCAACAACACAGTTCAAAAGCATCAGTTCTTCGTCGCTCAGCTTTCTTTATAGGCCAACTCTCATCCATACATGAATACTGGAAAAACCAGAGATTTGACTAGACGGACCTTTGTTGGCAAAGTAATGTCTCTGCCTTTTAATATGCTGTATAGGTTAGTCATAACTTTTCTTCCAAGGAGCAAGTGTCTTTTAATTTCATGGCTGCAGTCACCATCTGCAGTGATTTTGGAGCCCCCCAAAATAAAATCTGTCACTGTTTCCACATAAAGAATTAAATCAAATAATGTTTGTATACAGCTAATAACAAAACCTCAAAATATACCAGATAAAATTCGGGGAACTAAAAGGTTAAAGAAATAAATACATAATTATACTAGAAAAAAGATTTTTTAAAGCCTCTAATAGCAACTGCTGAAAAAGCAGAAAAATTAAGTATATAAATATTTGAAAATATTAAACTGTATTTTCTTAACTGATTTGTAGTGAACACTTTATCTAGCAGCTGTGCAATTCAAAAATGTCCAAGTATACCTGCAACATTTACCTAACTTGACCATGAAATGTATTACAAGTCAGACCTGAACAATTAAAACCATATTGGTTATCCTCTCAGGCAAAAGGGGTGCTAGACTATAATTCATATACAATAAAATATCTATTAAAATCCCTTATTTAAAGTGAATCAGTAAGCATCTAAGTATGCCAGGGGTCAAAGAAATGTAATGAAAATATAACATTTTTTCAAAAGAATGATAATGAAAATTTAAATGTTTCAATTTTATGATTGCAGTACTATTGCTCTTAGAGAAAAACCTATGACCTTGAATGCACAGAGATAAAAAAGGAAAAGCTGAAAAATAAAACATTTAAGCTTTATATATCAAAAAAGGAGAGTGACAAATTAAATACAAAGTATAAGAAATTGAATAAAAGAGAGACAGAAATTATTGAAATAGCAATTGAGCATGAAAAATCTTGCTCCTTGAAAAAAGTGGATATAAGGAATTAACTTCTTGCTAGCACCAGGGGAAAGAGAGAAAGAAAATATACAATAGGAGTTAAAGGGGAGACATTACTAAAGATTTTGCTAATATTGTAAAGAATATGACAGCTTCCCAGGTGGCTTAATGGTAAAGAATCCATCTGCCAATGCAGGAGAAGCAAAAGACACAAATTAGATCCCTGGGTCAGGAATCCCCTGGGGGAGGAAATGACAACCCACTCCAGTATTCTTGCCTGGGAAATCCCACGGACAGAGGGGCCTGGCAAGTTGCAGTCCATGGGGTCACAAACAGTCAGACATGACTAAGCACTCACGAGGTAAAGAACATGAAAAAATAGAGTGAAGAACTTCTTACTAATACATTTGGAAATTAAAACAGAATGGATAAATTTCCAGAAGAAATAAATTTGCTGAAATAATAGTAAGTAGAAAATGTGACTATTTCTAAATCTATTAAGAAATGTATTTAATTAGCTCCTCACCCTCAAATAAATCTCCAGGCCTAGATAACTTTGTCTAGTTATGCTGTTGGTGGTGTTGTTTAGTCACTAAATCATGTCCAGTTTCTTTTGATCCTGTGGACTGTGGCCTTCCATATCCCATTGTCCATGGGATTTCCCAAGAAAGAATACTTTATCAATAAGTTACTCCCAACATATAAGAAGGAAGTAACAGCAGAATTACGCAAATTTCTCAGTAAAGAGAGAATGAGCCAAGATGTCTAAACTTGAAAACAAGAATTTCCAGGTCAATTTCACTCATGAACATAAATGCATATATCCTAAATGAAATGATTATTAAACCTACTCCAGTATAGGTCAAAAATATGTACATGTAATATGCTATCACTTAGGTGGATTTTTTCTGTCAATGCAAGTTTGGGCTATTTCTCAAAATTCAACTGCTAAAATTTAACATATCACCAGAATCCATATGATTTTCCAATATTATTTGGTAAAATTCAAAATCTATATTAATAAAAATTATGGTAATAACATGTGTCTAGGAGGCAAATAAATTCCCTAATTTCTTAAGTATTTTGTACATAAACACAGAGAAAACATCATACTTAATGATGAGATATCATGGTATTTCATGCTATAATGGTGAGATATCAAAGTCAGTTTTGCTGTTAGAAACAATATAATCACCATTTTTATTCAACCCTGCATATACCTTATATGGTATTCAATACTGTATCTAGCATATATGTTGGAAAAATCAAACAGAAGATGTGCAAGATTCCATTAAAAATCTGTAAACCATTACTGAGAAATAAACTAAATGACACTTGAATTAATATATGTTAACATATTAGAACTTCAATGTCAGCATATGAAATAGTGTCAAAATAATTGATATTAAATCAATCTATAATTTATCATTATGTCATATTTCAAATGTGAAGTGTGGTGTATTAACAGTTATGCTAGGACAACAGAGTAAATTTTGAATGTCCCATGCAAGCCTGGATATATGATCATGAACTATCTAGATTAAATTAATTTCCATTCAGCAATGCAGCAAGAAGTTTTGTAGAAATTGATATAATAATTCCACAATTTATATGAAAGTATAAAATCCAAACAAAGCAAGACAATCCCGAAGGTGAACAAAATTTGAGAATTTGCATAGTAGTTCAAGGTTTATTGCAAACTCTAGTAATTAGTATGATGGAGTATTAACACAAATATTAAGAAAGAAGTAAATGGAAGAAAATATAAGAGACTACAAACAAAATCACCTATGTATGCACACTTGCTTTCTGAAAAGTTGAAAAGGTAGTAATAAGGGAATTGGCACTTTTTTCAATAATCATAAGCAATTGCATGTCTATATGAAGTCTATAATTTTGACTCATATTTCATACTAATTGAATTGCAAATCTAATTTTGCAAGCTACAACAATAAAAAGTATAATGGATAGCACAGGAACTTTCAAGATCTTGTGGTAGAAAGTATTTTTTAAGTAGGAAATAAAAAATACTCATAGAAACATTTGCATTAAATTAGGGCTACATTAAAATTAAAAGATAGTGTTTATCAAAATAAAAGTTTCAGAAAGTGAAAAGGTCAGCCACAGAGCAGAAAAATGTGTTTGGCAAATATACTAATTTCATATACAGAACGTATAGAGAACTTCATTAAATTAACAGGTCAACACAAAACTGTGAAATTCAATGTCAACTTCACAGAAGATCACATGGATGATACACATATGAAAATATACCTAATATATTTTATTAGTCATCAGAGAAATGCAAATTAAAACCATAATGAGATACTACTCCACATCCACCAGGAAGACTATTTTTTAAATAGTCAGAAAATAGTAAATTATTTTCAGAAACAGAAACAAATCAAAGTTTGTTTTTGTACTAAATATAACATGTTTAAAGCTCTTCAGAAAGTGATTGTGCATTATCAGCTGGACATGATCATGCCTATGACTTAGCAATTCCACTTCCATGAGAACCCCATTTCAATATATATTTGACTATGTATAATATACATTTAATATATTTTTCATATGTGATAGAGCATGTAGTTATACATATAATCACATACATTATGTATATTTTACTTATACAAGTATATATGTAATATGTACATATAGTCACAGGCACAATATTTATAATATCCATGAAATGGAAATAATATAGAATTTTAATTTGTTGCATATTCATAAAGTGGAATATTATACAGCAATGAAAATTGACACACTACTCCATACATAACTTACATAAATTTCATAAACATGTTCAAATGAACATTGTCAGACTAAAAAGTACATATACTCTATAATTTCATTTATATAAAACATAAATGCCAGCTAAATTAATATATGGCCATGTAACTCACTAAAAATTTAAACTTAAGATGGTGACAATTGAGAAGAAAACAACACAGGCTTCTGAAAGCAATTGAGATTTTATTTGTGTATATATGATGTGGCTTCAAAGGAGTATTTCTTTGT